TCTGGCCCACGCCTTAAATGGTAGGAGAAACAGCCACAGTTTCCACATTTGTGACAGTGGTAGGGCAACCATATAAACTGCATTAGCAGGGAAAGGAGGGCTTCAATCTTGGTTTCCCTTGTTTACCTTCAAGATTTCCAAAAGAGCTGTCTCTTCACCACAAATGTAAGCACCAGCACCAAAGTGGAATGAACATCAAAATCATAACCAGATCACCATGCATTCTTGCCCAATAGTCCAGCCGCATAAGCTTCTTTTTGGCTTTCTCAAGGTTTTTACGTTCATTTACATATTCACCCCTTATGTAAATGTAAGCGGCTGTAGCCCTCATCCCTACACCAGCAATCAAGCAACCCTCCAACAATTTGTGTGGATCATGCGCATATTTCCCTGCTTTACAGGTTCCAGGTTCACTTTCATCAGCATTGACAACAAGAATGAAGGGCGGCATCAGATACCTTTGGCATGAAGGACCACTTTAAGCCAGATGGAAAACCTGCACCACCACGTCTCGAAGGCAGATTTCTTCTCTCATTCACAATCCAATCACGCAACCTTGAGTACCAAGTCTTTGGTCCTATACAATCACCTCGTTTCATGGCACCTTTGAGAAAGGGTCATGCAATCCATACAAATTGGTGAAAATCCTGTCCTCATTTCAGGCCACCAAAATGGGTTTCTCTGGAGGTGGGGGAGGTGGAGGAGGTTGGGGAGTGCTAGCAGTTGTGCACCTTGTGGAGGACTACCGATGCACCTTTTGGAGGACTACCAGATGCACCTTGTGGAGTACTACCAGATGCACCTTGAGTGCTGAGTGATCTGAAGCCTAGACCCCACTTTCACTATGACGCTGAGCAACACTGCTCTTCGCAGGGAAAAAATTCCCTTATAGGTGCCTATCATTATAGTAAAGATTGATATTATGAGTCAAATAAAATCAGTTCAATTAACATCCTAAATCCACTGCAAGTATTCAAAACCATTTTCTATGATCAATACATTGTATTACACCAGCTGATGGAACTGAATTTCAAGAACACATACACATACAACCGCAATTACCCTCCACACAAGGGGAACACAGTGTGGAGTAACATGATCAAATTTAAGGGCCAAAAAGAATAAAAATACATTTTAAAATGAAAAAATTGTTTATCCAATCTTAGAGAGGTTGCAAACTTGAGTCTAAAATTAAGTGCTCTTGATAGAGTCGTAAATACCCCGTTCCTGAACTCTCCGCAACTTAAGTGTAAAATTCCAGTAAACTTAGCAAAAGAAGTGGGTTTCATTATACCCATGTTAATATCATTAGCTACTACCCCAAAAAAAAAAAAAAAAAAAAAAAAAAAAAAAAAAAAACAAATTAACTGAGCCCTAGCACAACAATGAAAATATGAGTTTCTCAACCCGGGAAACCCAAATGACAAGTACCATAAAATCTAATTTCTCTTCAATTGCTCTCTCATCCTCGAGTTTCTCGGCAACTAAAGTAATGACGAAAAAAGCCTACATTGGATCATAATGGACATTATATTCAACGATCATTTCTTATCCTAGTTATCAACAACATGGTGATAAAATACCCAATCAAAACCCTAAAGAAATAAAACATACAATCCCAAGAAAAAAACGAAATTGTAAATCAAAAGAAAATAGCACGTTAAAGCGGAAGAATTAGTGACGTACCCTAGCATGAATTGTAGAAGAAGAGTCGGCGACTTGCTCTACCGAGAAATCGAGATACACAGAAAAAATATAACTTAAGATTTGAAGGCGACACTACTGTGTGAAATGGGCAGTTAAGATTTGGGATCAGAAAAAGTTCGGCTCTGATCCAACATCAACGGTGATATTAGGCTGGGCCGGTGAGTAATGTTTGTGATGATTTGGTTGATACGTATTAAGGCTTATGAGCGGGGAATATGAATACACGTTGCTCTCGGGTTGGCTTTGACTCTACATATGGGCCCAAATTAGAGTGTTACTATTTGACTAAATGCCGCCTTAAATTACTAAAAAGCCTCTCATACATGCTATTCTCGCTGGGTCCAAAAATATGTTTTTTTTTTTGGTGATCGAGGTGTTTAGGTAGCTTACACGCAACTCGACTAATCTTTAGGATCCTGAAGTTACGACCAATTAAACCTCTAGTGGTCATCCCTATTAGTAACCAAGGGGAATCGAACTCAATAATCTTGAGGGAAGCACGAATGCATGTGTTTGATTGTCAAAGTCAATAATTATGCGTATCCTTTTGAAGTGAAGGGTACATTTAAATTGTGATTAAAAGAAATAAATAAAAAATAAAAAGGTGTTTGAAAAGTGAGGACATGGGAGTACACTGTGTAGGATAAGACAGAAAGGTCGCAAAAATAGGAAACCAGAGTTATGAAAAAATTGCTTTTGGTTTTGGGCGCCTTAATTAGCTGTTCTTAAACAGAGTTCGTTTCTATTGGTTTGTAAACTGTTGCGAAATTGGTTCATTTATTGTTATTGGTTAGATTTAAATCTTTAATTTTAAGAATATTGAAAAGAAAAAGGAACCTTCTTTTCCTACAAGGGAGAACGACATTTTCCCACCAAGGTTCGGGGGACGATACTTTTCCTCCCTCTAAGTTTCCAAATGTGTTAGGTTTTATTATGTTTTTTATTAATATTTTATAATAAAAAACTCTTAAATATTTAATTTTATAAATTTTTATTATTTTTTAACTTGTCAAAAATTTAAATATTAAAAAGGTAAAAAAGAAAAAATAGTTAACCCTACTTAAAAAGTTAAGAGTAATGTCATGAAATTGTTTAAAGTTAAATGATGTTAATATTTATTTATTTATAATGTTATCAATATTTTATCACTATTATTCAATAATCTACTAAATTTATAATGTTTTTTATTTTTACGAATTAACTTAGAAAATCAATATTCTTAATTAATTAAATAAACAAAAGAAAAAATGTATCTTTACATTTGAACTAATAAATAATCAAGTAAAGATTTTGACTTAACGAAATTTTAATTTATAATAAACTATTTAAGAGTATTTTCGACTTTTCAAACAAATATTAACTAAAAACACTAATAGAACTTGATGAAGCTTGAAAAAGTGTCATTTTTAAACTTGACGGATGGAAAAGTGTCATTTTTGCCAAACCTTCGGTGGGAAAATGTCGCTCTCCGTTCAGAGAATTAGAAAAGGCTTGCGTCTGTAAGTAACAATAAATTGGGAAAAAAATTTTGACAACTTTTATTAGCAGTACTTGAGGTCAATTAGAATGTTTATTTATAAATTATAATTCATGCTAGAGTAAACGACTTTTTCCCACTCAAGGTTTACCGTAACGACATTTTCCAACCCAAAATTTATATTTTGTTTACTACTCAGAATACGCTTTTTGATTCGATGGCCAACGAAGATTAAACTTGATCTAGACTATTGAGGTTTTTGAAGACGGAATGCTAGAGAGTCTTTTGGTGGTGGCAAGTTAGATTTTGGTGATCGAAATTGGTCGAAATCTGACTTGGGGAAGGTAGCTGTATGTTTCACAAATCGCTCGATTGTCGACAATTTGTGGGATTGATAGGAGCAAGGTTTGCGGGGATTCGGTGAGTGATGATCAGAGAAGATAATAAATGATGGTGACGTAGGGTCGTAAAGATGTTGAAATCAGTTGGCGATTGGTTGAAATATAAACTTTGGGTGAGAGAGTGATATTTTAAAACTTTTAGGGTGAAAAGTGTCCTTAAGGCAAACCTTGGGCAAGAAAAAGTCGGCTTAAACTTTTATTAGAATACGAAGCAACACCAATATGGGAAATATATAGTGAAAGATGAAGAATCAAGTCAAATAGGAAGGTTAAACGTCAAAATTGAGTTAGGAAAATATCTTGATCCTAGTGTTTGGTGTTGAAGAAATGCAAATCTCATTTTTCACTCAAAAGAAAAGGTGGTCAGTGTGAATCTTATTAATTGCATTGTTTTTCATGTCATGATGTAGTCTTTATCAAATTATAAATAAATATATATATATTCAAAAGGCTTTATGTATCATTACTTGGACAGTTTTTTCTTGTTTTTGCAAGGTGAATTGAAAGAGGGAATCTACTTGTACTCCAGTGAAATTATGACACCATGTGCTTAAGGGAGATGCAAAACGGGGACATCAATTTCACTGATGAAATTATTAAAACATCTAGTTGGACCATTGTTAACATATCATGCCAGCGAAATCAGTAATCAACTACAAAATAATTCTCTCAATCGCTTCAAACATTAAGTTTCATTCTTTGGTTTGGTTTGCTCTTGCAAGTCTCCAAGTTCTGGCGCCTCGTTTTCCCAAAAATTACAGGATTTGAAGGGATTCAGGTTTCGAATTTGGGGATATAAGTCAAGGCNATATCTTGATCCTAGTGTTTGGTGTTGAAGAAATGCAAATCTCATTTTTCACTCAAAAGAAAAGGTGGTCAGTGTGAATCTAATTAATTGCATTGTTTTTCATGTCATGGTATAGTCTTTATCAAATTATAAATAAATAAATATATATTCAAAAGGCTTTATGTATCATGACTTGGACAGTTTTTTCTTGTTTTTGCAAGGTGAATTGAAAGAGGGAATCAACTTTTACTCCAATGATATTATGACACCATGTGCTTAAGGGAGATGCAAAACGGGGACATCAATTTCATTGATGAAATTATTAAAACATATAGTTGGACCATTGTTAACATATCATGCCAGGGAAATCAGTAATCAACTACAAAATAATTCTCTCAATCGCTTCAAACATTAAGTTTCATTCTTTGGTTTGGTTTGCTCTTGCAAGTCTCCAAGTTCTGACGCCTCGTTTTCCCAAAAATTACAGGATTTGAAGGGATTCAGGTTTCGAATTTGGTGATATAAGTCAAGGCCAACCTCAATCTTCCATCAGTTATAAAATCTTGGGTCAACCAAACCAAACAAGTATCAAACTTGATTTTATACACCTGCACTCAAAGTTGCTCAGAGTTCTCTTATTGATAGCGAAAAAATATGATTAGCTTTATCACATGGGAAAAATACAGATGTTATTAACAACATGCCTCTAATTTTACCAAAAAGACATGTTCAAGAAACACATCAAACAACTTTTTAAGAATCCGTGCCCAGGTAGGGGAACATTCATCATTTCTCCAGGACAGTAAATGCAGTCATAGTTTGATACAGCTTAAAAACAAACAGATCACTAGCAGGTTCACCAGATACCTGAACCACCTATCCTCCCAATATCTGGCCTAATTGCTCCACTTTTATTCCAGGATATCCATTAGTAAAGAAATTCCCTACACAACATAACAAATCTCGTTACCACACTAAAAGTGTAAACATTATCCTCTTTATCAAAGTGGAAGTGAGTCAAAATATAAAAAAATTATCAAAGCATCCCCAAGCGAAGAAGGACCTATTGGAAAATTACTATTGGAAATAATTTTTAACCACAGGGACAATAAGATTTCCCTGCGCTTCTTTTCAGAATATCAACCAGATTCAATCACCCCATAGGCCCACTACAGTACACAGCACACTTCCAGATGTCTAACAAGATAAATGCCGCATTGCTGAAATTACTGCTAATTTACTGAAAAATAACATGATGTCCTGAAACTTTTACAAACTTCTGCCTTTCTGTATATGTGCAATTTAAAGCCAAAGAGAAGCAGCACAATTTTTTTTTTCCTAAATAAGAAACAAAAATTTTATATTAAGAATAATAGACTTTATTTACCATATTAAGATAACAGATAAGTGGCACAAACAAGAATTTGCATCACAGAAAAGAAAAGAGATAAACCAAATAAATAGGAGTTTTATAATAATTAATTATTCAAATCACACAAGTTATTATAAAGGGGAAATGCCCACTTAACACATGCAGTGAAAAAGATCCAAGAAGAAACCTGAGTAGATAAATAAACTTAAGCAGTGGCTGCCAGCAACTCCCTCTCTGCACGCTCCCTAATCCTTCTCTCAAGCTCAGGCCTAAAATGTCGGATGAGACCCTGAACAGGCCAAGCAGCAGCATCACCCAATGCACAGATTGTGTGCCCCTCAATCTGCTTGGTCACCTCCTGAAGCATATCAATCTCTTCCAACATTGCATCTCCAACCTTCAACCTTTCCATGATCATCCAAAGCCATCCTGTCCCCTCCCTGCATGGTGTGCACTGCCCACAGCTTTCATGCTTGTAAAAGTAAGAGAGCCTTGCAATTGCATCCACAACATCAGTCGATTTATCCATAACGATAACAGCGGCAGTTCCCAATCCTGACTGAACAGCCTTGAGAGCATCATAATCCATCAGCACATCATCACATATGTGTTTGGGAAGCAGGGGAACTGATGAACCCCCAGGTATCACTGCAAGTAAATTATCCCATCCACCTCGAATACCACCACAGTGCCTCTCAATCAACTCTTTCAGGGGAATACTCATCTCCTCTTCAACTGTGCAAGGTTTGTTCACATGACCGGAGACACAAAATAACTTTGTACCAGCATTGTTCTTCCTGCCAAAACTGGCAAACCACTCTGGCCCACGCCTTAAAATGGTAGGAGAAACAGCCACAGTTTCCACATTTGTGACAGTGGTAGGGCAACCATATAAACCTGCATTAGCAGGGAAAGGAGGCTTCAATCTTGGTTTCCCTTGTTTACCTTCAAGACTTTCCAAAAGAGCTGTCTCTTCACCACAAATGTAAGCACCAGCACCAAAGTGGATATGAACATCAAAATCATAACCAGATCCACATGCATTCTTGCCCAATAGTCCAGCCGCATAAGCTTCTTTTCTGGCTTTCTCAAGGTTTTTACGTTCATTTACATATTCACCCCTTATGTAAATGTAAGCGGCTGTAGCCCTCATCCCTACACCAGCAATCAAGCAACCCTCCAACAATTTGTGTGGATCATGCCGCATAATTTCCCTGTCTTTACAGGTTCCAGGTTCACTTTCATCAGCATTGACAACAAGATATGAAGGGCGGCCATCAGATACCTTTGGCATGAAGGACCACTTTAGGCCAGATGGAAAACCTGCACCACCACGTCCTCGAAGGCCAGATTTCTTCATCTCATTCACAATCCAATCAGCACCCTTGAGTACCAAGTCTTTGGTCCTATACCAATCACCTCGTTTCATGGCACCTTTGAGAAAAGGGTCATGCAATCCATACAAATTGGTGAAAATCCTGTCCTCATCTTTCAGGCCACCAAAATGGGTTTTCTCTGGAGGTGGGGGAGGTGGAGGAGGTTGGGGAGTGCTAGCAGTTGATGCACCTTGTGGAGGACTACCAGATGCACCTTTTGGAGGACTACCAGATGCACCTTGTGGAGTACTACCAGATGCACCTTGAGTGCTGAGTGATCTGAAGCCTAGACCCCACTTCTCACTATGACGCTGAGCCAACACTGCTCTTCGCAGGGAAAAAATTCCCTTTATAGGTGCCTATTACGTTATAGTAAAAGATTGATATTATGAGTCAAATAAAATCAGTTCAATTAACATCCTAAATCCACTGCAAGTATTCAAAACCATTTTCTATGATCAATACATTGTATTCACCAGCTGATGGAACTGAATTTCAAGAACACATACACATACAACCGCAATTACCCTCCACACAAGGGGGAACACAGTGTGGAGTAACATGATCAAATTTAAGGGCCAAAAAGAATAAAAATACATTTTAAAATGAAAACTTCAATTGTTTATCCAATCTTAGAGAGGTTGCAAACTTGAGTCTAAAATTAAGTTCTCTTGATAAGAGTCGTAAATACCTCCGTTCCTGAACTCTCCCGCAACTTCAAGTGTAAAATTCCAGTAAACTTAGCATAAAGAAGCTGGTTTTCATTTATACCCATGTTAATATCATTTAGCTACTACCCCCAAAAAAAAAAAAAAAAAAAAAAAAAAAAAAAAAAAAAAAAAAAAAAGTTTTAAACTGTGCCCTAGCACAACAATGAAAATATGAGTTTCTCAACCCGAGGAAACCAAATGACAAGTACCATAAAATCTAATTTTCTCTTCAATGCTCTCATTTCCTCGAGTTTCTCGGCAACTAAAGTAATGACGAAAAAAGCCTACATTGGATCTAATATGGACATTATATTCAACCAATCATTCTTATCCTAGTTAATCAACAACATGGTGATAAAATACCCAATCAAAACCCTAACTAAATAAAACATACAATCCCAAGAAAAACGAATTGTAAATCAAAAGAAAATAGCACGTTAAAGCGGAAGAATTAGTGACGTACCATAGCATGAATTGTAGAAGAAGAGTCGGCGACTTTGCTCTACCGAGAAATCGAGATACACAGAAAAAATATAACTTAAGATTTGAAGGCGACACTACTGTGTGAAATGGCAGTTAAGATTTGTTGATCAGAAATGTCGGCTCTGATCAAACATTCAACGGTTGATATTAGGCTGGGCCGGTGAGTAATGTTTGTGATGATTTTGGTTGATACGTATTAAGGCTTATGAGCGGGGAATATCAATACACGTTGCTCTCTGGGTGGGCATTGACTCTTCATATTGGGCCCAAATTAGAGTGTTACTATTTGACTAAATGCCCCGTTATGATTACTGAAAAGCCCCTCATAACATGCTATTCTAGCTTGGGTCCAAAAATATGTTTTTTTTTTTTTTTTTTTTTTTGTGTTGTGATCGAGGTGTTAGGCTAGCTTACTGATATGAATTCTTACAACCACAATTCATACACTACCCTAATTCAACCAATTCTAACTCCACTTAGGCTAGGATTCTTCCAGCTCTTTATGACCATTCGGCTAACACTCTCCATACATACACACAACCATTAAGACAACTTAGAACAACTCCTTATATCAAACTCCAATCAACACAAAGGTACTCATGTTCAAATACACCACAAACGGATTCAAGACTATGCAAAACAAAATCCGGAAATAGAGTTAAATTGAAGCAAAAGGAAAAAACTTACAAAAAAGATGACCAAGGAATCAATCAAGCCTAAAGGAAACTCCACCACCAAGTTTGGCCAAACTTGGGTAAAGGAAAACAGAGAAAACAATTCTCAAGGTAAAGTACTATTCACTTCAATATTTAATCTCCTTTACAAAAATGATCAAGTGGCCTTTAAATAGGCTTTACAAAAATTAAGGGATTACCCTAGCAAATATTACATGATGGAAACATTAAAATAACATGAAAATTAATAAACATAAGTCTCCACCATACAAGTCAAAAGCAAGTAATACCCATTTAATGTCATGGACAACCTTTCCTAATTTAAGGACCTATGTCTTTAATAATAATTTAGGGATTTTCTCCAAAATTGAATCAAATGACATTCAAAACTTGGACTTGGGCTTAGGCCAAGGTAACTTGTTCCCACTGTTGTTCACGTTTTTTGGCCACAAAATAGGGCTGAGCTATGCCTTGGAACCTTAAGACCTCTTGGACAATTTTGTGAGCTTCTTGAGTGTTTGGGTTGCTTGGGCCGAATGTTGTCTTCATGGTGGCCTTGAGTCTTCATTGAAATTCCTGCATTTGTGATGAGCATGATGGGCTTGGATTCTCATCATTACACGCACTTCGACATCTCTAGGACTCTGAAGTTACCGACCAAGTAAACTCTAGTGGTCATCCCTATTAGTAATAAGGGGAATCGAACTCAATAACTCTTGAGTAATACACACCAAGAGTCCTTATTCGACCACTCAGCCACCCAGGGGTGGTAAAAATTTGTAGTATATTTCGGTAAAATCTTTTCTCACCCAAATAAGACCTAACAACACTTTCCCACCAAAAAGTCTAAAAATTCAACTTTACTACCTAAAGTACAATTCTACTAGTAAATTTGGTTAAAGAAAGCAAGATAGTCAAAAGTCCATTATAAGTAAGAATGGGATGGTCAACACCCCAACAACGCAGCTCACCAGACCGTCAGCGAACGCCTATTATGTTTTCGCATGTTTTCCCCTCTTGCAGTTTTTTTCGTCGCATTGACATCGGAAAATTCTCCTCAATGGCACCAATCGAACCCCCACCCTCCATTCAGCAAAACCCTACCTCTACTCACCCTCTCATCTCGCATTTGCCGCTAGTGACTTGTCATTGCAACTGCAAGACGGTTGATTTTTAAGACCCAACACTTGAAAAAAGCCGTATTTTTGGTGTTGATTTGTTTGTGTTGCTTTTTGAAGTGGTTGGGTTGTCGTTGTTGTGTTTTTTCTAATCGTTAGCCTTTCCCCCATCGCTTACAAGTTACAACCTTGCTACTCTACTACGCACACTACCTAATCCATTTTATTCCCCAACCAAAAACCCAGTTTTTTTACTCTTGTAGTCACCCCAAACACCACCCCTGAGCCAACCAACACCCTTTAGACACCTAAGCACCACCCCAACACACCTCTTTGAGCCACTTGCCCCTCCCAATGACCTAATCTGCTAGCTCAACAGATTGCCCAAAGATTTTCATCCCTGACTTCCAAAGATTGAGGAGTGATTGTGGGTGTTGGTGAGAAGGGTTTTGGTGGGGGGGATGCCAATAAGTTGAATGATGGTGATGGGGTCGATTTTTAGTGTGGAAATCGTTCGAAATTTGGGCCGAGGCACGCAAAACTTTGATTTGCAATGGCCGGCGTTGGGGGTTGATGTTTGATAAGGGTATTTTCGTCTTACTCTTTTATTTCAACGCTTCATGACATGTGCTATGCTTGGACATATACAATTATCAGTAATATTTCAGAGTTTATTTCATTTAATTTACTAAGAGATCGGTTAATATAAAATGTATTCACGAGTATCACAAAATCTCAAACCTTCTATTAGACTTCTATTTGATATTAATGGATTTCATGAAAAAAAAAACATAGAAAATAAACCTTAATATCTTATACTTTATAGAGTACAAGTGAAGTGTCGGAAAGAAATTGGGCTGATTACAAGTTCGATCAACCGAAAAACAACTTTTTGTTCTAAAAGCGTTGTCTAAACAATAGAAGATGCGAATAGCTATTTATATATGTCGGATTGTCGGTTAATTCGAGGTCTAAGGTATGTATATATATTAATCTTATTTGGATAATAATTGGACATAAAGAATACCACTCATATAAAAAAGCCTATGCTGCTAATATTATCCTTTTATTATTATTTGTTATGCCTGAAAAAGTAGGACTGAAGCAGAGCCCGGTCAGCGTAAATGATCAGAGTCTAAGTAGATCCTACAGTCGTTCAAACGCCGCTACGTCGCATGCTGGCGTGAGTAGCATGTTCCTGTCAGTGTAGTGGGTGCACGCCAGACTGACGAAAGGTTGGAGGCCGTCCACATGTCTAACCCCTGTACTAAACGAGGAAATCACTCGAGTGGGTGAGTAACGAGACACAAAGAAGGATTTGTACGGTATCCGTAATCACTTGCAAGTCAGTTCATTGAATGCAACTTGACCCTCCATATTTATACAATATCAGTAGACGTAGGAGTCACTTACTTAAGCATTCGAACCACTTTAAAACATTGTTTCTTCACCTATTATTCATTTCACCACCCCCATTCGCGTGTGTCTTCTAGGCCAGCTCAACATTTTATATGTGCGTTTAGTTGGTATCCAAATCACACATCAATATTATTATTATTATTATTATTATCGTGCATATTTATGAATTTCTCAATGAACCTCTTGAAATCAATATTATTATTATTATTATTATTATCGTGCATATTTATGAATTTCTCAATGAACCCCTTGAAATGCGTTGAAGTTAAATAAAGTAGTTGTGTTTATTGAAGAAAGCCGATGGGTGCATGTATCTATCATAAAGCGTAGACCCAACAATACTGTCGCAAAATGGTACTGCAGATAGCTTCAAAAGGTGAGGGGTCCAATGTCGTAGAACACCCCCAAAAGGAATTTGGACATCATGGAATTTAAATGCTCCATCTGTATTAATATTAGACATCCTGTTCCTGGAATTAAAATTAATTGAGGTCAAGGCCTTTTGTGTCCATTCATACTGAAATTTGTATGTTTTATACTTTTGAGAAGATGGAGGCCCCTACATGCGCTTCCTTCGTCCTCAATCCTTACATGTGTCATACCCCATTTGTCTGTATGGGACACAACGAATTAAGAGAAGCATCAATGATGAAGCCCAAGTAGAGGAGTTATACGAAGGCTCTTAGAACCACAAGGATCTCTAATCCAATATGCATTATCATATTTGATGAGTTTTATATAAAAACATTTCCGGGAGTTATTATGATTATATTCACTACATTTTTTTTTAGGTAGTCTAGATAATTAGGACGAATTGAAGACAATATAGATAGACGTACAGTCTCAAGTTTAATTTCTTATTTGAATATTCATGATTTAAATATATATCTGTCGCGGTGATGGTGGATTGCTACGTTGATCTTTTTAGAAAATTAATTGAAATACGTGTAAATTGGTTTGAACATCTTCGTAAAAAAAAAAAAAAAAATGATTATATTAATTAAATCAAGATAAGGGATTTTATTGGTTGGTTAGTTGGGGGATTTGTCAACCATCTTAACTCTCATATCAAGCAAGAATGGTCAGTAAACAGAAAACTAAAATACGGGTAGAAGAAAATTAGAAATTGCTGGCCAAAAAACAGATCTATCTAGTTATTTTATGTCGATAATATTATACTATGATCAATTAAATTGTGGAGACTCCAAGAGAACGACCTAGCTTTAAAAAATTCGGGTAAAAGTGAGTCCAATATAGCTTGAAATTGCAGGCCAAATCCGGCAACATAAGACTACAAATTTATGTTACTGGCAGCAGCAAAAGGCCAGCTAACTGATCCTGCATTGTTCAATTACTTCAATTCATGACTAAGCAAATGTGCTTATTAACATTTTTTTTTTTGGTTACCGAAGATGTCCGAGTCAAGCTTACTTGCATCTAAACTAATTTTTTGAGGTTTTGAAGTTGACGATTAGATAAATATTTTAGTGACCATCCCAATTAGGGTCTGTGAAAACTCGAATTCAGGAGTTCATGAAACATTTTTTTAACTCTTTTCCCATCATGTCACCTAATGTTTATTACATTGTAATTTGTAAATGTTGGTATTGTCAAATTACTAGCCTTACGTTCGAACGGCAAGACTTAATCATTTGGGTAGATCATTCAGAAGATGGATTCGAAGATTAACCGAAGTCTATACAAACTGATCCGGTTAAAAAAAAAAAAAAAACACCTCGATAATAATAAAAAAAAAAATGTTGGTGTTGCCACCCGCTTAAAATATTTACAGATATTGAATTAAAATTTGGAAGATTTGCAATACATAGTCGTTACGTTGAGATTTTCTTTTATTAATTTGTTATCAATCCATAAAGCTCAGGCGGCTTCAGGATATCGAAAGTCGAAACAAGAAGAATTTGGTTGAGGCTCCAGAGTGGACCTCCTGAATGAGGCTCCTAATAATGACCCAGTCAAACACATTTTAAGAATTTTAAACCAAAATTAAAAAGAATCTTAAATCCAGATCCCCTCCCCCCAATAAAACGCGTGCTTTCCATCTTTCTCCCCTGACGCTTCTCTTCTCTTCTCTCTCACTTTCACGTTTACGTGCAGAGGCCACAACAACAAGAAGCTCTACAATTCCTCCGTTCACTCAACTCAATTATAATTCACGCACACTGAACGCAAAAATTCGATGACGGTGTTTGGAAACTCCGGCAAGCAGCAGGTATTCCCGGTGAACTACGAAGCTGAGGTGTCGCAACGCCTGGTTGATGCAGCGCACGTTAGTGACTTGAAGTGCGCCAACGAGTGTATAGCCGATCCTTTTATCGACTTCAACTTCATTGGAACGGTGAGCTTGAAAGCTAAAAGAACTGAAGTCGTCTTGCACGATGAGGCGCCTCATGAAGTTCGCGTCGAGTACGAGGAGTTCAAGACTGATGTCACCGCTTTGTTCCTCGCTGCTCATGCTGGAAACTTGACACTTGTCAGAAAGTTACTGGTACTTTTGTTTTTTCAAAAATAATCTCGTTACACCAAAAAAAAAAAAAAAAAAAAAAACAAGTATCCGTTTATTTTTTCATCGTTCGTTAGCAGTTCAAATTTGATTTGAAAATCAAAGAAATCTCAGAGTTTTAACGCTCAAAATCCACAGTTTGATCTTACTATTTAAAAATGAACAAAGAGAAATGGGAGAAAAGGCTTGACAGTTGTGTTTTATCTGAAACGATATTTGAAAATAATTAATTATTATAAATCGTTGTTCCTTCATATTATCATTCCTTTAGATGAAATTAAATTGGAGAATCAGACTGAGTGTTAGTGTCTGCGTAGTTTCTGCACAATTATCAGTGACGGTGGTGGTGATATTTTATGCAAATTTGTACGCAAGCGCAAAGCTGACAGACAGATAACCTGGAAACATTTCGTGACGCATACAGATGGATTTTCGTATCTTACTGTTACTGACTTGGAAAGCTGGAAGATTTATTTCCAGAGAAGTTTTGTCCTTTTTATTTACTTTGATTTCTCCACCTTTTGTAATTGGATACATAGGGTCTCTGCAAGGGGCCCCTACAATTACAAAACATAATTAGCAAGTTAAAAAGACGACAAAAAAAAAAAAAAAAACTATTAGTTTTAGTTACGTCACTAATTTTGTAGGTTTTAATATTATTACTAATGTTTGATTACTTGTTCATGTGACAGAACTTTGGGGCCAATGTGAATCAGAAACTATTCCGAGGTTATGCAACGACTGCGGCTGTGAGGGAGTGTCACCTGGGGATACTGGATGTCCTTATTAAAGCGGGCGCATCTCAGGAGGCATGTGAGGAGGCTTTGTTGGAAGCGAGCTACTTGGGAGAGGCCAGGTCTGCTGAGTTGTTGATGAGTTCCGACTTGATTCGTCCACAAGTAGCTGTGCACGCTCTTGTTTCTGCGTGCTGCAGAGGATTTGTCAATGTTGTTGACATGCTCATTAAGGTAACTGCTGTTACAAATGTATATGCTAATGGGGTGAGCATGAAAATAAATTCTACTCGAAATCGGCGGGTACCTAGGGTTCTGGTTCTGGGTAAGAATTGGAACTGGCCCTCACAAGATAGGTTTCAGTTCCGTCACTTCAGGACCCAAAAACCGGAACCGGAACCAAAACTTGGAATAGAGTACCCTGCTAGGAACCGGTAACAGGGTACCCTGCAAGGAACCAGTAACGGGGTACCCTGTAAGGAACCGGGGTTTATATAACTAGTATACAACATTGAGGGGTTTTAACAAATTTTACCCCTAGACTATATACATAACTAGTGATTAGTGAACATTTTGGATTTTGGATATGAAGAAGCTTTAATAATTTTAATATATAGTTTTACGCTATATTAAAATTATTTGAAATATTGAAATTAATTAATAAGGAAAAAATTATATTGTCATAGAACATTTAAACAAATGGGGGTGTATTTGTAAATTTTACAGGTTTTTTTTGTCATTTTGTAAAGTTACAGGGACCAATGGATTATCTAGGGTACCTGGAACCGGAACCGGAACCGCAACCTGTGATTATCCAGGGTACCTAGAACCAGAACAGGTTCTAGCAATTGAGGAATCGAAACTGGTCGGTTCCGGTTCCTCCAAAAATCCTAGGGTACCCGGACCCGATCACCCCTAGCTATTTTACATTATCATAGGGCATAACAAAGAAGTTGGTGCTTTCTCTAATGTTTTGAAACTGTGAAATGACGTTGATGCTTTTGATTAATTGGTGGCAGTGTCGAGTAGATGTCAATGCCATTGATAGAGTGCTGCTCCGGTCTTCCAAGCCATCTCTATACGCTAATGTTGACTGTAATGCACTTGCGGCTGCTGTTGTTAGTAGACAGATACAAGTTGTTAGATTGCTGTTACAGGTAAGCATCTTTGTTCTTGATCACTAGACCTCCCCATCAAAAATACATAATTGTGGTGAAATTAGTGTGATGAAATCAATATTGATTGCTGATGAAATCACATTATGTTGTATCATAGTTTATGGATTTCAAAATATAAGCTGGCCGGGATGTGCTTGCTTACTTACCAAGTTGCTCTACAACTTGTAAAGCATGACAATGTAGTCGATTGTCCTGCTCAGAGTCCTGGGTATTATAGCAGGAGCTGGGCATATGCCACAGATTTGGATGCTCAAAACCTGTAAAAAATTGTTTTTAACACCATGTGTTACCAACATCTGTTTTTACAGCCGATAGTAGTTCAATTTTCTGTATAATGTTATTATAGTAGAATTATTTGGCTGAAATATATAATGTTTTTGGTCACTTAACACTGTAAAACAGGCTGGTGCCAAGACGGACATCAAGGTGAGACTGGGAGCCTGGTCTTGGGACATGGACACAGGAGAAGAATTTCGGGTGGGTGCTGGGCTAGCTGAGGCTTACTGCATTACCTGGTGTGCTGTGGAATATTTTGAAGCCAGTGGTGCCATCCTGCGTATGCTTTTCCGACACCTTTCTTCTAACACCCCACACTTTGGGAGGACACTCCTCCACCACGCCATACTATGCAATAACGCAAGAGCAGTAGAAGTGCTGCTAAATTGTGCTGTTGATAAAGAATTTCCAGTGAAAACAACTTCAAAAACAGAATTACGCCCCATTCATTTGGCTGCAAAGCTTGGATGTGCTAAAATTCTTCAATGCCTGATCAATGGTGGCTGCAATATCAATTCCAAAACAGCATCGGGAGAAACTGCACTTACAATTTGTGTAAGATATAAGCACGAGGAGGGCATTAAAGTTCTGGCGTCAGAAGGGGCTGATTTTGGATTGGTCAATTCTTCTGGTCAGTGTGCAACCTCTATAGCAAAATTAACCCGGTGGAGTCTTGGCTTCCAGCAAGCAGTGATAGATGTGATTCGAGCAGGGAAGGTTGTTCGTTCAAGCAATGCCTCAATATTTTCTCCTTTAATGTTTGTGACTCAAGCAAATAATGTTGAGGCATTGAAAAAACTGATTGAGCGGGCGGACATTTATCTTGATGAACAAGATGATGATGGAAACTCTGCTGCAATGATAGCTGCGGCTTCTGGCCACACTGAGGCCTTCAGGCTCCTGCTACATGCCGGAGCTAACATAAAACTGCAAAACAAGCACGGAAAGACGGCAATCAGCTTATCTGAATCAAACCACAACGGTGAAATAATCGAAAAAGTGATGCTTGAATATGCACTCGAAGAGGGACATAATGGTTCTGCTGGCTTTTATGCTCTGCATCGTGCTGCAAGACGCGGAGACTTGGATTTGGTTCAGATGTTAATTAGTAGAGGTTATGATGTTAACGACATGGACGGTGATGGATATACGTCACTCATGTTAGCAGCCAGGGGAGGCCATGGAAGAGTGTGTGAATTCTTGATTTCAAGGGGCGCAAAATGTGACATTGTGAATGCAAGAAACGAGACAGCACTTTCACTTGCAAGGAAAAACGGTTACGAAAACGACGCTGAGCGAGTTATATTAGATGAAATGGCTTTCACTCTTGTGTTGGCGGGCACTTGTGTAAAGAAGCACACCAAGTGCGGCAAAGGATCGCCCCATTACAAAGTAATGAAAATGGTGGAGTCTGCCGGGATTTTGAGGTGGGGAAAGTCTAATAAGAGAAATGTGATATGTAGGGCAGCTGAGGTTGGCCCTAGTGCCAAGTTCCGGTGGAATCGCCGCAAGAAGTTTGATACTGAAGAAGCAGGAATGTTTCATGTTGTGACTATAAAGAACAAGGAGTTGCATTTTGTCTGCCAGGGTGGCATTGAAATGGCTCAGCTCTGGGTAAGAGGAATCAAACTTCTGACTAGGCAAGCCATTTTTGGTAAGAAACAGAGGAGTGTGAATTGTTCATGAGTTGTTAATTCTATGTGAGAAATTTGGAGAAATACTTTCATCTCCTTGTATTTTTGTAGCAACTATTTCCCAATGCTATGTAAAGACTAAAGATTTAGATTACCACTTTTGCCGAAAAAGTAATTATCTTAAAACTACGAAAAAGTAATCCGGTGATGAAAAAGCAAAACGAGGCAATAATAGAGGTGATTACTAGAGTTCTTATCCGCCTGATCGTAAAAGAGCAAAAAAAGTTTTCATTAACTTATGAGTTCGAGTCCTCCAAACATTAATAAGAGTGGTTACTGGGAATCTTACTTTGATGGTGAAAGAGCAAAAAGAGTTTTTATAAACTCTAGAGTTCGAGTCCTTTTAGATACAATTCGAGTTCCCTCAAGCATTAATAGGGGTGACCACTAAAACTCTTACTCTGTCGACAATTGCAAGACCTCAAACACTTTGTGATAAAAAAAAAGAAGTAATTATCTTAAAACATTAACAGCAGGTTTTTATACTTAATTTTAAAAATATTATTGAGTTTTTCTTGATGAGAGAAACTTTTACAATTTTTGTTTTGATAGAAATATGTTTCATTAGATAAATTGTAATAAATTATACTTAAATACAATTTTTATTTTCGAATAACAAGGATACAATTTTTTTTCACAAAATTTGAATTACTTTAAAAAGAAAATTTAGGATAAAACAATAATAGTGTAAATCATAAAGAATGATTTTTTTTTTAATTTTTAATTTTTAAATATATCTAAATTAGAAAATAGAAACATAACGGGTAAAAAATGTAATTACAGAAACTATAGTGCGAACTGCAAAATTAAAAAAATTCAAAACCTCCTCCGAGAAATTCTAAACCCTGACCTCCGAAGTTTGAGTTAATTGATCGATGGCGAATCTTCCGATCACCCAGTTTGAAGAGAAGATTATAGAAACGGTAGAGCAGAATCCAGTGGTGGTGATAATTGGAGAGACGGGTTCGGGCAAGAGCACACAGCTTTCTCAAATACTTCACCGAAATGGCTACTCTAAATCCGGAATTATCGGTGTCACTCAGCCTCGCCGTGTCGCCGCAGTGTCTGTTGCAAGGTGAAACTCTTAAAAAGAGTTTTCGTTTTTCTTATGTACAGTCATTTAAGATTTAGTTTAAGTTTTTACTTGAAATATTAGGTTTTTGGTTTTTCTATACTCGCGAAATTCATAATCACATAATTAGGTTAGGCCAGAGAGTTGTGTTTGTGGATTTTTAAACCTTAAAACTACAAATATATGCTTATGTGTTTATTAAATGAGCTGTCAATATTGCATCGACTAATATGATTACTTTTATTATTGTGTTTAGACGAGTTGCACAGGAGCTTGGTGTTCCGCTTGGGGAGGAAGTGGGCTATGCAATAAGATTTGAGGATAGAACTTCGGAAAGAACCCTTATTAAGTATGTGTTTAAACTTGTTAGTGAATTCAGTTCTGGTATGATTGTCTTTCTTTGCCTAGTTTATTGTTTGCTAACTGTTGGGTTCTTTTAATCATTAGATATCTTACAGATGGAGTCCTGCTCCGCGAAAGCCTCTCTAATGCAGAGCTTAATCAGTATTCAGTAATCATATTGGATGAAGCTCATGAGAGGAGTCTGAACACGTAAGATTTTGCTTTGTGTGCTTAATTTGTGTCGTCTATTTCATTTAAGTCCAGGAAGCTTAATTTTTTATAAATAAATGAGTGGGTTTTGGGTTCCAGTATCAGTTACTTTGAGGTTTTAGTTGTGATATTGCTTGCCAAAAAATAAAAAATAGAAGCATTTACTTAATCTTTTTGAAAGCATGTCATCATATGTATCCACTATGTTTATGGGTGCATCTGTTGGCAGGGACATATTGCTGGGACTGGTGAAACGCTTGGTTAAGATGCGAGCATCCAATTTGAAGATTTTGATCACATCAGCTACTCTTGATGGTGAACAAGTGTCTAAATTCTTTTCTAATTGCCCCATACTGAATGTCCCTGGAAAGTTGTACCCTGTGGAGATATTATACAGCAAGGAGCGTCCTAAAAGTTATATTGATTCTTGTTTGAAAACAGCTATTGGTATGATTAATACTTTTGTCAACTCCATGTAATAATACTTAGAGTCTTGTGTTTACAGTTTACATGTGTATTTGATCTTTTGTGTTGTGTAAAGAAACAATTTTTGAAATATAAATGCCATAAGGAGACACTTATTTTGCACTAAACTCATTTAAATTTGATAAGGATCACCCGTGTATCCTTCCGGCTTGCTGCTATAGTGTGGAACCATTTATGTAAGTTTATATACAGAATGCAACACCATATGGTGCATTAAACCAAGTTTAAAAAGTACAGATAATGAAAGGAACTTTTGAGTACTTTTTCACCACAAGAAATTGGAATGAAAACCCACATATATTACAAGTTAATCTCAGTTTCTATGATGATACTGAGTTGCCATATTACTTGTGCCCATAATCTTTTGGTTTAGTTTCAAATTTATACTTGTTCACGATGGTTTACTAATCAATTGATAGTTACAGATATACATGTGAAGGAACCAGAAGGTGATGTTCTGATATTCATGACAGGACAGGTGAGCTTTTTGATATTGCTGTGTTGATGAATAAGATCAATATTGTAACTACTGTTGGCAGTGGATCTTAATTTTAATGTTTTTCGTACAATTTTTTTTTTTTTTTTTTTTTTTATGCTAAGATGTGGCCTTTTATAGGATGATATAGAAAAATTGGTATCCAAGTTGGAGGAAAAAGTTCGAAGCCTGGAGGAAGGGTCTTGCATGGATGCAATAATCCTTCCTCTTCATGGTTCTTTGCCGCCTGAAATGCAGGCAAGTTAATCATTGGCTTTTTTGCTTTTTCTTCTTCTGAAATTTCTCAATGAAATCAATTAAAGTTGTTATCAAACTAGTCAACCTGAAATTAGTTTTGGTTAATCGTTTTGAAGATGTTGATGTTGGGAGCTATGAACGTTCTTTAAATTTGATTGTTGATGATTTGTGTTTTCTATGACCCAACAGGTGCGTGTGTTTAGTCCTCCTCCTCCAAATTGTAGGCGTTTTATTGTTTCCACAAATATTGCTGAAACTTCCTTGACTGTTGATGGTGTAGTGTAAGCAGACTTGATACTTGCATGAAGATATGATTTGGTGATTGCATTCATCCTGTTATACATATGTTGTATCATAATTTAATTCTATTTTTGTGTCAGTGTATTTTTTAAGAGTCATATGCATTCCTTTTAGGAACCCTACATTAGTCGTGGATTTGTTTTTATAGTGTGAAACCTTGTTAGTGAAGTTATTTTTTATGATACCAAAACCATGAAGCAGATGGTAGTTTGGGAACTGTACTTTGCAGTGATATTGCACTGCTCATAAACATTTCATCTGCAGTAGTGGATTCCTTACTGCCATAGGGAGGGTCAGGTTGCTTTTCCTTTATTATTTCAACAATTGGAAGATTTTTTTTTTTTTTCTTTTTTAAATAAAGAAACTCTGAAAGATGTATTAACAAAGGGAAAATATTATGAATAGGGAATGACATAAATTCCGATAATGTGCAAGATTTGGATTTGGGTTTAAAAATCCTATTTTTCTCTTACATTATAGTTCTTTTTGGTGCATGTTATTGATATGACATAGCTTCCCCGCCACCCCCCCCCATTTGGATTTGGGTTTAAAAATCCTATTTTTCTCTTACATTATAGTTCTTTTTGGTGCATGTTATTGATATGATATAGCTTCCCCCCCACCCCAACCCCACACACACACACATGCAATCTCTTGGTAGGGGCAGTAACTATATCATCTGCAATGTTCTTTTATTTATTAGGATCAAGTTCCTTTATTTTTGCCAAATTAGGTTCTAACATTTGCAAATTATTATGTCAAACAGATATGTTATTGACGCTGGTTATGTGAAGCAACGGCAATACAACCCATCAACCGGCATGTATTCCCTTGATGTAGTTCAAATTAGCAAGTACGCAGAATACTTCTACATAATATTTTTTGCAGCATATTTTACATTTTCTAGTCATGAAATTTACATTTCTGATTAACTTTAGTCCTTTTAAATCATGTGTAATTCTTTGTCTTCTGCATGAGTGATGTGCTTGAATTTTGGTATTGAGTCTGACAAAAGTTGAACAGAGCTAAACTTCCTATTATAAATTCCAGAGAAGATTTGTTTTAAAAACACCCCTCATCAGCTGCCTTGTGCTACTTTCTTTTCTATTTTCCACCTAATTTTTTCAGCAAAATCAAATTTATTGTATCTGGTTATAGTACAGGCATGTGATATCCAATTGAGAGGGAGGATTAGAGAGCTATACCTTACCATCAACTGAAAATAAATGGGTATAAACAAAGAGAAGAAAGTAAAAGAAGGAAGAAGAAGCTGGAATTTAGGAGTATATTATAGGTCCTTCATTTTTCTCATTAGATAGCTTATTTTCTGTATTGTTTTCTAAAATGATTTTCTATAGAGACAAGGTGACTTCTTGGACATGTATCTGATAATTGTTATAATGACTCATTGAGTTTTGTGGTTACAGAGTGCAAGCTAATCAGCGTGCTGGGCGGGCTGGAAGAACACGTCCTGGCAAGTGTTACCGCTTGTACCCCTCCAAGGTGTACCAAGATGATTTTCTTGATGTAACAGTGCCTGAAATACAGCGATCTTCTCTTGCTGGCAGTGTTCTATATTTGAAATCATTGGATCTTTCTGATATCAATGTTCTCAAGTTTGATTTTCTTGATCCCCCTTCCTGTAAGAAAGCATTCTTCTGTGGTTTTTCATTGCACATGCTTATTGTTAATTTCACTGGCTGCATGTACCTCATTTTTATAATTACATGCTTCCTATTTCACGGTTGATCTTTAAGTTTTGTCAATGGCTTATTTTTCCTAGTTGACTTAGATATATTGATTGAATCTGAATGGTTTTGCTGCAGTTGAATCATTAGAAGATGCCCTAAAGCAATTATATCTTATTGATGCTATTGATGAAAATGGAACCATTACAAGTGTTGGAAGAACAATGGCTGGTACTTGATTTACCCTTCTTGTGAAGTTTATTTTAAATGTTAAGGTTTATGTTTCCACCAATCATATCTCCTCACCATCTAACGAAAACAGAATACCCCGTTGACCAACTTGTTGCTTTAACATTTACCATTTATCTTTGGTTGAAAATGTTTTTAGCTTTAATCTTTTTATTGTTTATGATTATTCTTTACTAATAGAATGGTGTAGATGACATTGGACTTATTTCAATATCTAAACTTATTTAACATTTGTGTGGTTGTATCCAGAGCTTCCTTTGGAACCTTCTCTTTCAAGAACCTTGATTGAGGCAAATGAATACAATTGCTTAGCTCAGGCTTTGACTGTAGCTGCTATGTTATCAGCAGAAACCACATTGCTCCTTAGTCGAAGGTTAATTCATCTGGAATACTTTTATGAATTGCGTTTGTCGTAAATGCTGTTAGTAGTTCTTTTGTATGCAAAAAAATTATAGGAATAACATGTCAACCCACTGTCTGTTTTCTATGCTAACATATGCTTTCCCATTATGCTGTTAGAATAGTGTGAATCATATATAGAAGAAGTCATCAGATGTCTAGAGATCGAATATCTCCTAAAGAATTAATTAAAATGACATAGGGCAATGTTTTCGTGTATCTAACATAATTTTTTATATTTGCTGAGTGTTTCATTGTCCTTTGTTGACAAGATAGCTATCACCTCGCTATCATCTGCCGTTTAGCTGGATTAATGAAAATTGATAGCTTAATATAGATATCATTTACACACTTGGTCCACTTCTGTAATTTTGCTTTATTCATACATATTATAGTTGTTTCCTGTTCCCAAAAAAAAAAAAGAAAAAGAAAAGAAAAGAAAAAGATATCATTGGTATACATAATGACAGACAGAAGGAAAATTGAAAATGAATTCCTTTGTGTAATCAATGGATATTCTTCTTTGAGGTAGTGAGAGTTCTATCTTTGCATGCAGCAACAGGACTGAGAAAAAGAGGAAACACACTCCCAGGGATCTTCCTGATGGTTCTGGTTTGGGAGATCACATCCAGTTGCTACAGATTTATGAGCGTTGGGATGAAACTGATTACGATGTTGATTGGTGCAGAGATAATGACTTGCAGGTACTTTCTTATCTTCTGCTTCATAAGACTTGATATGTAATATATATCTATGCATGTGTTCATGCACACAAATGCTCATAAGTGAATTCAAATTTATAGAAGGACTAAGTGGGCCCAATCCCAGCACATAACCTGTGGAGTGTACAAGAGCTAAACTGAAAAAGTAGAAAAAAAAAAGCAACATCTGTTAAAAATTTAAGTCCCAAGGGATAAAGCATGTAAAAATCTTAAAAGGAACCATAGTTGTTGAAATCCATAGAAAATGTTGGCCATGAACTTTAATTATATCAATTTCTTAGTAGAGTTTTCTTGATAGCATGAGCTGCTGGAATAGTCTTCGGAATATCCTTATGAATCTTAACTATATTCAGATGTTGAATAGATAATTATATATGTTGGTTTCCTTTGTACTTCAATGCAGAGGAATCTACTGGGCGTACTGAATGAGTGTGCTTTCTTGTTATTGGTTTTATAGCATATACATCTGCCTTTTGGTGATGAAGCTGAAGGAATGTAGTCTATGTATGGATGCATTGCAATTTATGTGTTCTTGTTGATATTAAAGTTGAATAACATTTTAAACTAAATTTGCAGGTGAGAGGAATGAAGTTTGTTAAAGATGTTCGGAAACAACTATCTCAGATAATGCAGAAAATAGCTAAAGGTTAGTTTCTTGGTTATTGGGCATCATATATATATATGAAACTTAAGAAAGTGTTTCTAGATACCTAAATGGGGGTATTTTAGATATTAGTCTTTTAGTTCTATCATAGTTTTTTTTTTTTTTTCTTTTATTCCCTTCTTCACACCTTATAGTTTATATTGTATGTGGGAAACAGGATCCTTAGATGTGCGAGCAAATCAAAGTCGGAAAGGAAGGCAACAGGATTATAGGAATTTGAGGAAGGCTTTGTGTGTTGGCTTTGCCAACCAGCTTGCTGAGAGAATGATTCATCACAACGGCTATCGAACTATAGGTTTTAAGCCCCAATTGGTTCAGGTACAATTTACAAGTTTAGTCTGTTTTAGGTGTATTGCCTTGTTTATTGGAGCATCAATATAACTTTGAAGAAGTCATTGCCACATTATAAACGAGAAATGCTTACTTCATCATGGCATTTGAAAAAGCATTGTATTTAATCAATAAAGAGAAATGCTAAAAATGGTTCCACTTAAGTACCGAAAATCAATGAACATTGGGAGTATGGGAATCTAGCACCAGCTGCTTGTCTGTTTTGATATTCAAGTTAGATGTTGTTTCAAATATAACAACAAATTACTATTGATGTCAGGTGCATCCATCCTCTGTGCTAAGAACAGATGAAGAAGGAATGCTGCCAAATTATGTTGTGTACCATGAGCTCATTTCTACCTCACGTCCATATATGCGCAATGTGTGTGCTGTGGAAATGCTGTGGGTTACACCCATTTTAAAGAAGCTTGAGAAACTAGATATAAACAAACTGAGGTAAGTTATTGATCTCAAATTATCTCTCAGGAGAACATGAATATATTCATAGTTTGAGGTTGCAGATGAATTTAGCCTTTTCTTTCCATTTAAAACTATATATGAACCTAGTTGACATGGAGCCCTTTTGCTTGTGAACAGTGGTGGAGTAAGTCATATTGGAGAGGGAACAGAGGAAACACTTGCGGAAGCGCCAAAAAAAGAGGTTGATGTTGCTGGGCTTTCTAATGACCGTGAAAGTAAAATTCAGGCAGCTAGGGAGCGTTTTCTTGCCCGTAAAGCAAATAAATGAGCCAAGACTTTCAATTTTTTTCATCAATGAAAGAGTTGTTGGGTGGATCTCACTACAGAGGTCAGTTCTCTCTGTTTTTTGGAAGCAAGTTATTTTGGGAGGTCTGTTGAATCAGAAGAAAGGTCTTGTGATCATTGTCTTCATTTCTTATTCTTCCTTTTCCTGTCTATTTTATTTTTCTTTTTCTGTTTCCCAACTGCATAAAACTTTATCCACAATTTTATGTTTATGATCAGCAGGCCTTGGGACCTTAATTCAAGGCAGCGTTTGTGTTGAAATTTATTTGCTTTCAACTCTAAGCAGCTCATCACTTTCCTCTGTACCTGCTCGGCATATTTCGTATCAGCTGTTTAAAAACGCTCTGATGGTAGGATGGCACTTCTCATGAAAATCTGTAATTCTAATAGAATTCTAATAGTGATATACCTTCAGTTGAAAGAAACCAAGCCTCTCCATGTATCAAATGTAGCAATGTAACTTCTGCTATTATAATTCTATTTTTCTTGACGATTACAGAGGTTGCTAATTAATTAATATAATGCCATTTTTTCGAGATTTATCCATAAATAAAATGTTATCTTCTTTGTCACCAAATTCAAACTAACATTCTGTCATAGGTAGAACCTTGGAGCCGAACAGAGACTTTCTTGAGGCTTGAGGGGCAATCCCCAAGCCAAAATTGTTTGTTCAAAATCCTTTGGCGTCGAAATTTGCCAAAATAAAAACTGTTGAAGAGATGACATTTATGATTTGCGTTTCGCATCGGCTGTGGATGGTATGATTGGCAAAATGCAGATACTTTCTAGAAGGAAAGGTTTAGTAATTGACGTTATCTTCGAGAAGGAGATGGAGTGACTTTCTCAACCAGAATCAGAATATTGGGTTTGTTATAAGTCTGTTCCACATAACACCAAGGGCAAGTTCGCACTTCAATAACATGCTCCACAACGCAGTCTGGATTGGACAAATTTCTATGCTTTGCTATTTTACAAATGGCAAACCTTCCCCATCTGATTTCTGCCGATGGAAGGTAAACTTTTATCTTTCCGTTGATTTTAAATTAAAAGTATCATTTCAGCTATGAAATTATAAACAATTGACCTAACAATCATAAGTTAGGGTTATCGTTCTCGATTGGAAATGTTCAGTTACAAATTAGGTCGAATTAACTCGCACTTTGTTTTTCTCCCCAAAAGAAGAAAATTGAAAAAAAAAAAAAAAGAAAAAATACGATCTGCGATGCAATTTTTATAATGCATGTATGTATGCGTCGACAAAAAGCGAAATTTTTTTTATAGGGTTGACTTGGCTGCTTAAACGGCCTGCTAGATCTATGATTTGTCGTAACTCTGAACCCGACCCATGTAGTTGCAATCCAGTAGTTTACTCCCTTCGTTTAAGAGATTTTAAACGCAGGATCTAACGGTGGCTATAGAATATTAGATTTAGAGGTCAAATCAATACGCACATAGCACATAGCACCTAACAATCTAACGTTGTTCGCAAGTCGCAACTAACCCACTGAAGTACCTTCACCAACTCTAAAACCTTACCAATATTAAGATAAATTCTCAATACCAACCCCCCCTGCTCTGCGTAAATCTCTCTATTCAATATTTGCACACTTGGGTTGAGCCTAAACGCAGAAATAAAGACACTGTAATAACAGACAGAAAGAGAGCTGAGGAGCAATGGCATGTTCTTCAGTGGCGTTGGAGGATGTGCCTTCGGTTGATATAATGACGGAGCTCCTTCGCCGCTTCAAGTGTTCTTCGAAGCCTGACAAGCGTCTCGTTCTCATCGGTACTATTTTATTGCTTTTTTTTTTTTTTTTGAAAAAAGAAGTTGAAATTGTTTTGGGGAATGGAGATGGTTTAGTTTTGTTTTATCTTCTATATTGCGAGGGAAGTTTGATTCTTTATGGGTTTAGTTTTGTGAGTGAGTCAAGTTGGTTCCTTTTGAGTTATACGAGCTTTTTTCTTTTCTTTTCCCTTTTTTTTTTTTTTTTGGTAAACTTTGCTACTTTTTTAAGTATATAATTCATGGGCGTTGGGTTTTTGGATCTCATACCACTAGAGGTTCAATTGTTCTGTAAATTCTTTGTTTTGAATTCATGCTCAAATGTGATGATCATATTGATGATAAATACAATAAACATAATAGTGGATGGTTCTTGTTCAACCAAATTTATTGAAGGGCAACATTTCTGAAATTTGGTCCTGTTTATTTACTCGCGAGAAAGATTTGGTGATAAAAATTTCTCTCCATCTCTTCTATAAATTATTGTTTTTCTTGTATACGATTTAGCTTTGTAGTTTGGCATAACATATGGGTGTAGTTATGGTATTTGATTGTTCTGGTGTACAAATTACGGGAATTGACTCATTGGAATTGCATGACTCATGATAAACTGGGTGACTTGGTAGGTCCACCTGGATCTGGAAAGGGAACACAATCACCAATAATAAAGGATGATTATTGTTTGTGCCATTTGGCCACTGGTGATATGCTTAGAGCTGCAGTTGCTGCAAAAACCCCGCTTGGGATTAAGGCCAAAGAAGCTATGGACAAGGTAATTTGTTCATCCTAGATATAATTTGTATTACTCTTTGTAGTACACTTATTTTGTGACTGGTCTGTATGCTTAAATTTCTTTTAATAATGCAGGGAGAACTTGTGTCTGATGATTTGGTTGTTGGGATTATTGATGAAGCAATGAAGAAGCCTTCATGTCAAAAAGGTTTTATTCTAGATGGGTTTCCAAGGACCGTGGTTCAAGCAGAAAAAGTATTTGTTTTTTTTTTTGTTTTTTGTCATATATGTTGCGATATATAGCTGTTCTCTCTATACTCTTTGGTGGCATTTTTCATCTCATTGTCGGCTTTTAACCTTTTGTTTTTCTTAACTTTTGATACAGCTGGATGAGATGCTCAAAAATCAGGGCAGCAAAATTGAAAAAGTTCTCAACTTTGCAATTGATGATTCCATATTGGAGGAGAGGATCACTGGTCGTTGGATTCACCCTTCAAGCGGTCGGACCTATCACACTAAGTTTGCACCTCCCAAAGTCCCCGGTGTTGATGATGTAAGTTGGTAGTAATGCCATACTTTTTGGATTATCTTTTTCCAGTTTTTAGTTGATGATTGGTGTTGACTGGAGTCAATAATCTTTGTGATTTAGATACCTTAGCAGATTAGCAGCTAATTAGCAGTCACATGTGTTAATTGGCAATGTTTTGTGTTTTTTGCATATTTTCTTATTTGAACTGAGCATGTGCATTTTGCACTTTTACTTTTAACTTCTTTTGACTTGTGGTGTATAATAAAAAAACTTAGGCCAAAGCTTGATCTATAACAATTACTTGTGTGGAGGCAATTAACCTATCTAGAGTTGTGGCAAATTAAGATTTCAGTATCAGCCTCCAAAATATTTTTAACCATATGTTAATGCATAAGCAGGCTTATACTTCTTAAAGTTTTATTTATCAATGTTTTTTAATTTTATACTTTAACATGCATGTCTAGAACCAAACTTATGAACATGAGGTGCTTCTGCACGTTAATTATAAGCATTTACTTGTCTTTTTAACTATAGGTCACAGGAGACCCTCTAATTCAGCGTAAAGATGATACCCCGCAAGTTCTCAAGTCAAGGCTGGAGGCATTTCACAAGCAGACCGAACCGGTAGGATTATTTCTTCCCTCTGCCCCTAACTGAGTTCATTTATCTTGGCTGACTGACTATATTGACTTGCTGTGATAAACAGAAAACTATTTATAGTTTTCTTCCCCTCATTGATCTTTGATATCTTTGTAGATCTCTAGTCTACTGACGTAGCTACCTCATTCTCTTCTTTAATATATAGTTTTACGTTTCCTTTAAAAAAAAAAAACAGAGAAGAGAGAAATAGAAAACTATTTAAGTATGAGAGTTTACGTTCTCTTATATCTGTGATTCTCTATTTCACATTGAGTCATTCTTATCTCTACGTTTGTGCATATTATGTAGATGTTTCAGTATATTGCTTTTTAAGGATATGACATAATTTCTTAAAGCCAACCTTGATTTAAATGGAGCTTAGTACTTCACCCATGGAAACATTTCACTCCACTTTTGTAAACTAATTATGAAATATAAAACAATTATAAGGACTAAAGCATAACAGATGAAAGATAAGAGACTGTTGTGAATAGGAGAACAATAGAAGGGTTGAGATTTATTTTCTTCTCATATTAGTACTGTAAAATTACAAAAGAGGGAAGGGTTTATATAATAATTCTGTCATCCCCCAAACTAATCAAAACTTGCCATTTAGCCACTAGGTGTCACAAATTGTTGCCACCTTTTACCATGTGTCAAAAGGTGGCAATGACATAATGAAAAGTGTCAATTGGTGGTAGATCCACGTATCTTTACAACACTCCCCCTTCGATCTCCGTCAAATAAAATCCATCACTTACAGATAATTATGGTTGACTTTACTTAAGAAAAACCCAGTGGGACAAAAACCTTAAGCAAAGAAACAAAATTACATGATGAATTGTATAATGGTGTTGGACATGTGGAATACTCTCTCGTGAGTGGCTAAATGACAAGTTTTGATTAGTTTGGGGGGCTGACATGAATTACTATATAAACCTTTCCATCCTTTTGTAATTTTACAGTACTAATACGAGAAGAAAATAAATCCCAACCCTTCTATTGTTCTCCTATTCACAATAGTCTCTTATCTTTATCTGTTATGCTTCAGTCCTTATAATTGTTTTATATTTCATAAATAGTTTACAATACGTGTTGCTCATTTCTTGCTGTTTTATTTAACCATCTTTGTTCATGCAGGTTATTGACTATTATACCAAGAAAGGTGTTCTTGCTGAATTACATGCCGAGAAACCACCAAAAGAAGTCACTGTTGAGGTTCAGAAGGCTCTATCATCTTAGGAGTGTTTTTCTTTCCCTTTTCTTTGTTATATGCCCCTATTTAATCCGATACTCTTATCGGATCGGCTGGTCAATGGTTTTCAAACGCATCTTTCTTGACACACTATGAGCTCTCGATTAACTTTTGAGTTCCTAGGTGTTTCATTCTCCAGGAAATAATAGTTTGCCATGAAATGATATTTTGCATGTCATCATGGCTGCATTTTCAAGTACATAAGAATGGATTTTAAAATATTCAACTTATTTCTTTATAGCCTCATCGCTTATATCCACTAAACTTCTTCTCACGTGATAAGAGAGTTGGTAAATATAAAGGTGTAGGTTGATTGTATCGCAATAATTGGTTTGCTTTATTACGTGGGCATCCAACATACCAGCCGGATGATTTTAGTGGTCAGTGCAACTCTTGGATTTATATATGGGGATTATTGTGTAAAATCGTGGCTGTACTGAGGTATTTCCAGCTTATGATAGTGGATTAGAATTCCTATATGCCTGAGAATGCGGTGAAATGATGCACCACGTTTCTTTCAATGTAGCAACTGGTCTAATGTCAAAGGAGATCCAGCTAGATGGGACTGATTCAGTAACTTGCACATCTTGTAAAGAAGAATATTAGTGTCGTGAGCATAGCTATATAAAAATATCGATTTTGGAACAGCAGATCAATGAGTGAGCTAAAACCACCGCTACATAAATTGATTTCTTAAATTGTTGAAAAAGATAGTTAAGCAGTACGTTTGACAACACAGCCACTAAGATGGTGGGGTAGAGTTTCTTGACATATACGGATATACCTAGTCTCTGCCATGGTGCATAATTGACTTGGATTGAAAATTGTCGTGTAAGTTTTTCATCCTCGATGCTTTTTCTTATCAAACAGCTTAATTTGGAAGCTAAATCCCTTTTATAAAAACCCATTTGCTCATGACTGCTGGAACCCAAGCTAGGAAGCAAATATACAAAAGATAGTTTCATTCATACTATAACATGTTTTCTCTAACAAAAATGCCTTCAACAGCATCAGTTCTATCAGCCTACACCACTTTCACCGCAACCACAATGCTTGCCCGCACTGTGCTTACTGAGGTCCAGACAATGATCGGCCAGTTGATACCCCAGAGACTACAAGAGAAGGTATTATCCAAACTTGGAGGCATTTTTGGGAAGTTCTCTGATCAACTAACAATCTTCATTGATGAATATAATGGCGTGGCCATCAATGAAATCTACCAGTCTTCTGAAATTTACTTAAGCACGAGGATTACGCCATCAGTTGAGCAGCTTAAAGTTTCCCAATCAGCAGAAGAGAAGAGCCTGTTAGTTACCGTCAACAAAGGCCAGAAGATCATTGACACATTTGAAGGAATTCAACTCACGTGGGAATTTATCTGTATTGAAACACAGAAGCCATCCCACGGCTGGAATAACGTTTCAGAAACACGTGAACGAAAATCAATTCAGCTCAGTTTTCACAAGAGATACAAGGAGAAGGTGTTGAGCACTTACCTACCATACATAGCAGAAAGAGCAAAGGCCATAAAAGAATCGAAAAAGGTGGTCAAGCTACATTCAATTACAGACTATCAAGGTTCCTGGGACTCAATTAACCTTGACCATCCATCCACTTTCGACACATTGGCAATGGATCCAGTGCTCAAGAAAGAGTTGATGGATGATTTGGACAGATTTGTGGAGAGAAGGGAGTTCTACAGGAGAGTAGGGAAGGCATGGAAGCGCGGATATTTGTTGTATGGGCCTCCTGGTACAGGCAAATCAAGTTTGATTGCAGCCATGGCTAATTATCTCAAGTTTGACATCTATGACTTGGAGCTTACAACTGTGAGGAGCAACTCAGAGCTCAGGTACCTCTTAGTCTCTACCGGGAACCGATCCATACTCGTAATAGAAGATATTGACTGTAGCACTGACTTGAAGAATCGACAATCTGGAGTATGTAACGACAATGACAGTAATGTGAGTGCATAACATACTTCTGTCATCCAAATTATCTGTTTTCTCTTTTGCGAGCTCCGAATTTTTTTTTTTTTTTAAATCCTTTGTTAAAGCATATGTGAGAGAACTAAGAATTACTATTTGCAGCTATTGAATGTTTGTTCATTTATATTGACAGTTAACACTATCTGGGTTACTTAATTTCGTGGATGGCCTGTGGTCAAGCTGTGGAAACGAGAGGATAATCGTATTCACAACGAACCATAAAGAGAGATTAGACCCTGCATTGCTGAGGCCAGGTCGCATGGACAAGCACATTCACATGTCATTCTTGACGCCATGTGCCTTCAAAACTCTTTCTTTTAACTATCTCAACATTGAAAGTCATTCTCTTTTTCCTCAAATTGAAGAACTAATAAAAGAAGTGGAGGTGACCCCGGCTGAGGTAGCTGAAGAACTGATGAAGAATACTGAGGATGCTGATGTTGCCCTTGAAGGACTCATTGAGTTCCTGGAAAAGAAGAAAGAGAATATGAAATGTAAAGTTGAAGAGGAATTAAAACAGGTCAAGGAACAAGAAAAAGAAAGTGAGAAAGTTGAGAAAGAAGGTGATAAGAAGAGAAAGGGAGTCAACAAGAACAAGAAGATGGCAAAGACAAAGAGGGCCAGAAATAGAAGATGAGGGATCATCTATCTCAAACCTCTGAAGGGATTAAAGTTTGTCAAAATAGTTTTAATATCCTTATATTTTGTAGTTTTGATTGAAATAAATAGAAAAAGGTATTTTAATTAGGTGCCAATTACTCATTGTTGCTGTTAATTGATCAATTCTTAGATTATAATGAAATGAAATTAAAAATTGAGGAATCCAAATGGTCGTGAACTGATGACGAATATAAATTGTCAGCATTTTCTATCATATTTCTTATTAATAATTTAATTAGATTGTTGGATGACATGATTGGTAGTAACCTCCGTTAATCCAAGTTTTCATAATATAACCTTGTTGATGTTTGATTTTGACACTAACTATTCGCATGTGAAAATATTAAGTGGGTTGAGAAGTCACACGTGATTATGGAAATATTAAGTTGAATAAAGGGTGAAGAACAATATTTAAAGTGGTTCGGATGCTCAAAAGGCGAATCCTACGTCCACTGATATTATATTAATGAGTGAAGTCAGGTCACTTTTAGCGAGCTGAGTTACAGTTTAGAGAATACAAGAGAGAGAGAGAAAGAGTACGCTATTAGTGAAATTAGTCAATCCCACAAATGGGAGAGAAGCCCTCTATTTATAGTGGGATGAATCAAGATAATGATAACTAAATCTGCGAGTGGGGTAGATGTCGTGCAAATCCTTCTCTGCTTCCCATTGCTCACCTGCCCGAGTGATTTCCTCGACTTGTGCAGGGATTGGACACGTGGATCGTTTCCAGCCTTTCGCCAACCTGGCGTACACCCACTACACTGGCAGGAGCATTCTACTCCCGTTATCACGCGACGTAGCTGCATCTGAGCAGTTGTAGAACCTTCTTAAGCTCTGACCACCCATGCTGACAAGGCTCTGCATCAACCCTATTTTTCCAAACATAACAGAAGTCCCCTAGTTTTTAAGGTTTGAGAATCGAACCTTGAGAATAACACAATTATGCCTTGATTTGATATGTGCCGAATGACGCCTGATCAATCTAACCTGACTGTAAGGAGGTCGCAAGAAATTTCCATATAGGCGACCTGAAATAGTCTTCTTTTGCAAGGTCTGCGACCTGGACCAGACCTTATTCAGTGCCATATTGATGAGACTCTTATCTTGACTGAGGTTCACGACCTGGTTATACTTAGCGTATTTTTTGCTGAAAGCAAGGCGTCACATCGCTTTGCAACTGACATGCGACAAAGAGTATTTTATCTAACAACCTCTTTAGATGTTATCCGTTGCGCTTTGGCAGCTCATACATTAATGAAACACCTTTTGCTCTAACAGACATGTCCTATGCGTAATAAGTGCCAGCCATGCGCATTAAATGTAAGCCATGCTGAAACAACATTCCTTATCAGAACATTAAATGCGGATGAGAGCGCATTTAATGTGGAGGAGGGAAACAAGCCGTCGCTCGATTATTTCAACAGAGGGAAGTGACAATTTGATTTCTCAAAGCGTGGCGATTACTCTTACTCGTTGATTGATGACACGTGGTCGTGATCAACGACAAGAGATGACTTCCGTCCAACCGTCGCTTGACTTCGGGAAAACCAAGTACCACTTCCTTCACTATAAAATCCCAAGCTCACCTCAAGCAATGTCACAATATTCACTTTTTCAGAAAGAGCAAGAAGCTTTTGTGAGACTAGATTTTCCATCTTTCAGATTGGTGCGCACTTAACAGTTAGAGCAGAAGGTTCAATCTTCATATTCAAGAGGTAAGGATGATTCTTTTATTACTTTCCTCTTTCTGTTTTGACGATAATCATGCGATAACGGTGAGTGTTTGTTGGTGGTTAATCGGAGAATAAGCTTTCTCCTAGGGTTTGAGTCTTTAGGGGTGGCCTCTAAGGATTTTTAGGGTTTTTTTAGGGTTAAAAAAAGATAGTGTTTACTGTTTCTTCCACATCATCGTATGAAACTTTGTATGATGACTGAGTAATTCTTGCATGTCGCTCTTTTTCAGACCGTAAAAGAAATAGACCCTTCAGTGATCAGGACAAATAAGGGAACAAGCTTGCCGGTATAGGACGCCTTAGTGGGTCCCTTATAGAAGATTCTGTCAATAGCCACAGCAGAAGAGATTCAAAGCGATAGACTAATACGCACTTAGCATAGACGTCTACCAGCATAGGACATATATAGCTCGGAATTCGCTAGAAGGAATGGCTGCGATCTCGAGAACATTTTTAAATGCGAAGCGTTGATTCCCTTCCACCCTTTCATAAGGTCGGTCCTCGATCACTTCGGGGTCGCACCGTTACAGTTGATGCCAAATGCATATATGATAGTCGTGGCTATGTATATCATATGCGGCAAGAACGGCCTAAGCGAGCTGACGTCCAATGCGTATATGATAGCCGTGGCTATGTATATCACATGCGGTGAGAACGACTTAGGCGAGCTGACCGCGCTAGAGCTCGACTGCTCGTATTATTTCAAGAAGAGTAAAGACAAGGGCTTTTTTTACCTCTCGAAGCGATTCTATGATTGAGGGAGGAATACACAGCTACCCCAGTAATGTCAGGGCATATGAGACGAAATTTTTCTTTTTTCACTATGATGGCATTTGCCAGTTTAGGGAGCCGAGTAAGTCTTCCTTTCTTTGACTTGGCGAAATTTCTTTCTTTTAATCTTTGCTGTTTCTTCGCAGTAAGCAAGACGACTAGTTATCGGCTCTCGTTGACTTCAACAGGATCACTGCTTTCGGTCTTCTGCCCGAACAG